TTTTCCTCCAGCTCTGTCCGGGACCCTCTGTTGTGATCCCTGTCAGAGCAGAAAGACAGTAGACTTTTACTGCAGATTCAGGGGTATCAGAAAGGGAGGCTTACATTACAGCATGATTCAATAGATAGTTTAAATTCAAATATTAGGCTTTTCTTCTCTTGTGTCTCTTAGTTGTTTCTGTCCAAGAATGCTTTAGCTTCTCACCTTATTGAAAGACCTTCTCTCTCTTCTCAGTTTCCTTGCGCTCAAATTCTTAATAAATACCAGTTATCTGGTTTTGTTTTCTCCTTCTGAATCCCCAGTTATCCTCAAGTGAGTTAGGAAGGCTCTTTCCTAAGGAAAGACATTTGGTTCCCCAAGGGGCATTTTGACAACAACTAATAAAATAATATTTTTCTTCCTGCTACACAAGTGTTTCATAACGAACTCCTTTTCAAGAGCCTGGGCAAGGTAACCAAGGAAGAAAGCAAAGCCCATCATACAGAGTTCCTCCTTGGCATTCCCTCTTTTAGAATGGCTTTATTGAGATATAATTCACATACCATATAATTCATTCATATAAAGTGTACAATTCAATGATTTTTAGTATATTCACAGTTGTGCATCCATCACCTCAATCAATTTTTGAACATTTTAATTACCCCAGAAGGGGACCTCATACCTTAGCTGTCACCCTCCAATCTCCCCATTCTTTCCTTCCCCCCTCAGCCCTAGGTAACCACTAATCTACTTTCTGTCTCTATAGATTTGCCTATTCTGGACATTTCATAGAAATAGAATCATTTTATGTGAGGTCCACCAGCTTCATTCACTTAGCATACTCTTTTCAAGGTTCATCCATTTGTAGCATGTATCAGTACTTCTTCTTATTGCTGAATAAAATTTCATTGTATGGGTATACCATATTTTGTTTCTCCATTAATTAGTTGATAAAAATTTGGGTTGTTACTACTTTTTGTCTATTATGAATAACGTTATTATATATAATGAACATTCAAGTAAAGTTTTTTGTGGACATGTGTTTTCATTTCTCTTGGGAATCTTACCTTCTTTTTTCAGGATTTTTAGCTTTTGTTCATTTATCTGTTGTAGCTTTACATACAATGATATTCTGCAATACCCTTATGACTCTTTCTTCCACATTGACACAATCTTGGTTAAAAGGTAAGTGTGAGTAGTAGCAAGAAAAAAGTTTCTGAGTTCTTAAAAAATAAAATAACAGTAAAGAAAGAGAATAAAAAGATTTTTTTAATCCTGATAATCCTACCCCTATAACTAAATATCTTTTCTGCATCTTCCTTCCAGTCTTTACCCTATACATATATATGTTATCGGAGCCCTGGTGGCACAGTGGTTAAGAGCTCAGCTGCTACCCAGAAGGCCAGCAGTTCAAATCCACCAGCTGCTCCTTGGAAACCCTATAGGGTAGTTCTACTCTGTCCTATAGGGTCGCTAAGAACTGGAATTGACTTGATGGCAACGGGTTATATATATGTTATAAACAGTTGAATTTATATATCATCTTATATGATACTTTTATTATGTATAAGGTTTTTATAGCATCATTGAGTAACCATCTGTACTCTGATTAATGTAAAACTGAGAGATTTACTGAAAAAAATAGAATCAGCATGAGCAGGGGATAGACTGAAATCCATGCAGTGGAATCCAGTAATCCAAAATGGCAACTGAGCAGGACGTTTTATAAGAGGGGAACAAAGGATATGAAGCACATTACTTGATTGGTGTTTAAAAACTTAGATTATCGAAAGACATTACTTGATTGATAATTACAGGCTTAGATCATCAATTGGTAGTAGATCATTATAAGGCAGGACTTCTGGTGGTGGGAGTTCATAAGACAGGGCTTCCTATTATGCAACTTGTGAGGTGATTGGCTTAAAAAGATATACATATCATTCTTAAATTGGTTACAGTGTAGTATTACAAGGGTATGTGATGGAGTGGGCCACAGTGTAGTTACGTCTTGATTACTGAACAATCTTCTCTTAGAAACAGCATGGAAGATGGCTGCCACTAGGGTGAAAATGGAATGAGCAAACAAGGAATTGCAGCCAATCCTCAAACTGGCTATTTCAGATCTTATCAGGTACCTCAATTTTTTAAAAAATTTCCTTACACATTCCCTCCTTTTGATCAAGGATTTAAAGAGAAATTCTTTGATCAGTTCACTGACTGTTATTCTGAAAGAAGGCTTTCTTCTGCATGGACTTTGAGCATATGTTTATTCTGGATAACTGTCTGCTTAATAAGTATTTAAGACCTGCTATGTATGTGAAAAGGTGTTATTATTGTTAGGTACCATCGAGTCAGCTCCAACTCATAGTGACTTCATGCACAACAGAACGAACCCCTGCCTGGTTCTTCTTTCAAGACAGATTTGTTTGCTCTTCTGGCAGTCTATGGCACATTAAATATTCTTTGCCAACACCCTAATACAAAGGCATCAACTCTTCTTTGATATTCCTTATTCACCATCCAACTGTCACATGCATATGAGGAAACTGAAAAGATTATAGTCTGGGTCAAGTGCACCCTAATCCTCGATGTAAGATCCCTGCTTTTTAACATTTTAAAAAGGTCTTTTGCAGCAGATTTGTCCGAATGCAACATGTAGTTTGATTTCTTGACTGTCACTTCCAGGGGCATTGACTGAGGATTCCAAAAAAAAAAAGAAATCAAACTATGAAAAGCAGAAGAACTATTTGATGTTTTCCCCACACCATAGCTTTAGCTTCTTGCTTTTGTAGTTTTACTATTTGAGGGTTAATGCAGGGCAGGCCACATTAGAGGAATAACCTGACATCTGATGGCTTACTCAAGGAGTGGCCTTGGGTCTGTCTGAAATATAAGTACTGTCAATGTACATTATTCTTTTCATAGACATTAAATTGGCCTTTTGGGTAATGGCATTTGTTAAAAGTTTCATACAACATTTAAGAGTCCTTACAATTATTACAGTGATAATGAGTATTATTAATCGAGTTGACAATATAGGCTTAATCCATGATCCAAAGCCTGAAGGTAGCCAGCTGAAAATATCTAGAAAAGGGGAGTCTGAAGGTGGATATATATAGAGCCAAGTAGCCTTCTGGTGAATTAATTTAATATCTTGTTCCACCTCTCCCGAGATGTTAATCCAGGTGCAGCAAGAGGGGTTAGCTATAGTACAGATCCCTGCTTGCTGGGCTAACAGGAAATCTAAGGTAGTTTGATAATCCAGAACTACTTTGGCAAGTGAGTTCAGTGATTTTTCTAGAGCAGTCATAGCACTGGCAACATCATTTGCCATTCCTTCCACGGTTCTGGAGATGTTACAAATGACGTGTTCTAAATCTCCTACTCCATAGCAAGGGAAGAATAGCCTCAAAAAACTATAACCTAAATCAGGGAACTCATCTCTCCCTTGCTTATCTCTTGACCATTTTTCTTTCCTCCTTTCTAATGGTTTCAGGTGACCAGTCCAATGTAAACTGTCATCGTAAGAATGGATGATTAAAGGATTCCCCTATGGCCTACAGTACATTGGCCTGTCATATTCAAACCATCCAAACAGG